CGAAAGCCGAACGCCGACTTAGGTGGTTTTGGTTCTGAGCAAGGACCAAGGATTTTAACAATAAAGAGATTTATCTAAAATGTTTATTTTGATGCATAAAAACATTTTATGATTTTGTAAAATAATTTTGACTCTTTGAGAACCGAGACTTGAATTGATTATCGGTTTTGATCACAAAAGACCGACTCGACTAAGTCTTCAAATCTTGATCTTGTCCTTGAGTCTTTTAGGTCTTGTTCCAAGCCATTTTTCACGCCTTGAGTTATTCAACGAAACTCTTCATATCCACGGCGGTTTGGCAATTATCAAAACCTGTCAGAAATGAACACGACTTTAGTTTAACGTATAAAGTGTGTTCCAACAACATCCATGTTTGGGGTGTGCTGAGAATCAATGGGAGTTCTATTCGCTGGCGTCACCACTTGATTCACATCATTCACTTCATTCCCTTCACTGCTCTTTGCATTCTCACGATTGCTCTCCACGTCTTCTTCCAAAGCCTGTGTCATCCCCAGACTGAAAGAAGGCACATCGTTAATGAAGTCCTCATACTTCTTTCGCACCTCAGCTGCCTTTTCTGCTTCATCAACTGCTGCCCAAAGGTCTGGACTGCTCCAGAAATCTGAATCCTCCGACATGTCTGTTTCATTATTCTCAACATCTTGTTCAATAGTAGCTTTCTTTGCAACATTTATGCCAATTACTTTATGGCACACATTACGCATCTTACGAAACATCAAGTTCTTTTCCATCGACTTTGGTGCATCCTGAATCATGTTTAGCAGATCAATAATTGTGCTTTCCAGGATCTTGCTTTTGTCTGCAATTTTCCTTACAAGCACCTAGATAAAACGTAAAACGAAAAAAGCGCATAAACGTTTAAAATTCACCTATCTACATATAACAAATCACCATTTTTCGTGCTCATTAACACATGCAAACTTTACCTCCTCTGAATCTTCAACGATCAAGTTCTCTTGTTCAGTCTCATCTCTATCCCCGACAGCGTCCTGTTCTCTCTCATTCATATCTCCATTCAGCTGAATGCGCGCCTCACGACTCATTCGCCCATCGTCATGACCTAAACCAAAACCCCCCTCAGTAACTTCACTGTTCTCTCTTTTCCATAGTTCCTTTCCACTCCAGGCCAACACAGCTGGATATGTCCTAGGAACCGTCCTTGAAAAATCAGACACACGATCTACGTAGAACACCTGCAAAATGTTTTTTTCATAAGCATGTTAGAATGTAAATAATGCACTATAAACAGTATTATAAATCATACCAGTAGAAACAACAGTGGACCACTGAATAACTGCTTCTTTTTTTTCTCCCACTTCAACTTGATCTCTATGAGCTTGTCAAGGACATATTGACACCAATCCAGCCTTGGAACTCTTTCAACATCTCTCAAATTGTCCATCACCAATGCATTCACATAACCGTGTGATGTGCTATCCACAAGCATCGACACAATTAGCGTTACAAAATGCCTCACAAACCACTCTCCTCCCTCTGTGCACTCCAACATCTTCTCTACAACATCATTCGGAGTGATCTTAATACCCGTCGTATCAAACTTAAGTCTCCACTCATTCAACAGTGACTTGTCCTTGTTGCGCTTGTTATTCTGAACCCGCTCTCCCCCCACCGGCCAGCCCAATACGGTATTAACATCTTCGGCAGTTATGTGCATCTTCGTACTGTCCGGAAGTTTTAAGCAGCTGCTCCTCGCATCATAGTTACTTACAACCCAAAGACCCAATCTTGATGGCAATTCCCAAATATCAAGCCTTAAAACTGATCCAAACCCAATTCTTTCAACCTCAGCACGCTGAACAACATTCATCCTTTGTATTGCTTTCATCAATACATGCGGTGTGGACCTTGTCTTCAACGACCCATATGGTGCCTTGATATCCACCAACTTCCTCTTTCCAGCCCTCGCTTTTTTTCCCCACCATCTCTGTTCTCCCGGTCACCTGTAATCGCTCCTTTCCCTTCTTCATAGTCTTAATTGTTCTTCTACTTGACCGCTCAACACTCATGCAATCTGCTCTCGGTGTCTTTCCCTTCACTGATCCACCCTGAACTCTGCTATCTTCACCCTGCCCACCAGACGTGTCATCATCATTCTCATTGTCATCCCCTTCGTACTCTTCCGATTCCTGATCACCACTGCTCTGTGCACCATCACTCTCTGAACCATCATCATCGCTGCCTTCCTCACCATCAATATCTGCCTCGTCCTCATCTCTTTCTTCTCCATCATCATCATTTGCAACCTCATCATCACTGTTTTCTTCCTCGCCATCCGTTAACTTCTCCGTTGGGGATGCCCTATTTCTCACAACATCCACCCGAGCATTCGGTTGAACTTCTCCAATTTCTTTGTCTCCGTCTTCACTAATGCCCTCACCTTCAATAGACTTCCCAGTTTGTGCTGATTCGTCACCAACGAGATCAATTTGCTCCGGCTCCCCATGCAGCTTGGTTTTCGTTCTGAACATAACGTTCATCAACCTTCCACTCCTCCTTCGTGGAGTGCTATCTTGTGATTTCAGCACCTTCTTCTTACATCTCTTCAGGAACAGCTGCTGGACTCCTGTCAAGGTAAGAAATCCATTATAAAGCATTTGACGAGATCATTGTTCATGCCATATGGAACAAAACTAATGTACTACTGCATTGAATTTAATTTAAATTGCAGATACGTATCCCACATATCAATTAGAATATTCTTTTCAATGACTTACTTAATTTGTCTTGTCATTTACCATGCAATACATTGCTTATTTAGAATCAACTACTGCACCAAACCAACAAAGGACATGCATACACATAATAATATGTTAAAAAACTACAAAACAACAAGCACCACATGAAAAAAGGGTTCATCCTGAATGTCTGGTTTAGAACACATTCATTTCTGATCCATTAATAAACTGTGAATGCTTAACTAAATCCACACCTTGCATCCAATATCAAATTGTGAACACATTCATGACTGATGAAATTGTAGAACACATTCGATCCTTATCAATTACAATACTCTTTTTTCTCGAACTTCACACAGAGTTTTCTACTATGGACAATGCCTCTACCTTGTTTATTTTAAACCAACTATTGCATCTAAACAAGAAAATGCTATGCATACCCATTATAATATCTCAAATACACCACATATAATACTCGTACAAACTGCTTAAATAAAAATTGAGATTGCTAATCTCACCCCACACCTTGCATCTAATAAAAAAATGGAAGCTGACTTTAATCAATTCAAATTACCCACACTTCACATCAAAAACAAATCAAAATACTCAAAACTTCAACAACACTGCATCAAACACCCTTATAGAATTCTAAAACAAAAAGTTACAAAATCAAATCCCAAATTCATAATACCAGAGAATAATATCTGTTTGAACTTCATGGTAACTTGAATTAATCCATGCAACTATTTATATTATTCTCTTCCATAAATTTTAAAAAAAAAACATGTCATGCACAATGCACTACCCTGCTTATTTAGAACCAATGACTGCATATTACTAAAACAAATCCTATTACTTTGTATTACATATATTGATTGCCCAATTTAAATTTTGTAATGCTTGCCTAACCACATACCATGAATCTAATTAATAGATTGATTCTTGCTACTAATCAACTGATATGTCTCACAATTTACTTCGGAAAATCAATACAAAGTGCACCAAACTTCAATTATGGTGCAACAAACTTCAATTTCACAAAAAAAAAAGATGTCATGCACAATGCACTACATTGCTTATTTTGAACCACATACTGCATATTACAAAACCAAATCCAATTACTTTGTATTACAACCAGCAGAGTAACAACCACACATCCCAAATGAATGATGCAATCTAGAACACATATATTGCTTGCCCAATTAAAATTTTGTAATGCTTGCCTAACCACATACCATGCATCTAATTAACAGATTCATTCATGCCACTAATCAACTGATATGTCTCACAATTCACTTCGGAAATTCAATACAAAGTGCACCAAACTTCAATTATGGTGCAACAAAACGCGAAGTATAATCAATTTAAACTAACTATCACAAAAGCCATACAAACATGCATAAATCCCCCCAAAAAAATTTCATGACCAAATGAAATTCATGCATTTTAATTCCAAATTTAACACCATAAAAATCAACTTTGGTGCAACATATACCCCAAATAAGATACTACACACACCCGAAACCCTACTCCAACACATGCAATCACTAAATCAATTTACAAACCCCCCCAAATAAACAAATTCACAACAAATTAAGTTTATAGCATTACCTGTTTCATCTGTCGAGGTCAGCGGGGTGAAATTGGTATCCGCCCCCTCTTTCTCCGTCGCTGC